GGGCAGACCCAGCCAAACAGGGACATGATGTGAGCTTATGGGGAAAAGAGTCACAGCTCCACTAAAAAAGGAGTGAATTGTGAACAAAAACGCTTGGCCCTCGTATAAGAGCCTGTCACCATATGGTCTCTCTGATTGGCCCAATGAATATTATTTATACAAACTGGAACAACGCCACCAGGAGAGATTGAGACCTCCCCCCACTCCCACCCCCATCAGGCTGGCTGGCTGGCGCTCCGTTGAAACTCCACCCTGAACCTGAGAAACCTTCCCAACTAAAGCATAATCAAAACTGGCCCATTCCCATGAAAAGTTTGTTTCAGTGAATCAACATTGTCTGGCCAAAACAAAGTGGTGTTAAAAAATTCCCAACCAGCTCAAGTTTTAAATATTAATTAAGCCTCCCCCGACCCACCCCTGGGAGGTAGATAAGGGATATAAACAGATCCCTTAACCCACCACTGCAACAGAGCTGGCTCTGCAGAAAGACACAGCAGAACTTGAAAACAGCAAGTGGTAGAGAATCCCACACCTGATGGAACACGCAGGGTGGGAACATGGAGACGGGGTGTAGTGACCAGAAATGGAATCAGCAAAAGAAATGCCATGGGTTTATTTAATGACTATAAGCGGTCAGGCTCTTGGCTTTACGGCCAGCAGACGGCACCACCCGCAGCAGAGCATACGCCCTAGTTAGCACACTCACCTGCCCAGCTCTTCTCCCATCTCATAATGGTCCTCCACATTCTCCTGCCTGAAGGTGGACATGGCTGTCAGACCAAAAAGAGCCCGGCCCACCCTTCAGAGAGCCAGACAGCTCGGTTCAACCCTGGAAGGAGACAAGGGAAACAGGAGAGAATTGTCATGCCCCAGTCAGCCACAGACATTCCAGCGCCGTGGGATGAGCAACAGAACCCCTGCATGACACAGCGGCACCTGCTCTAAACTGGCACGCGAACGGATACAAGAGATGGATGAGCCCTGCTCTTACGTTGCATCTATTTCTGGTTCATTCGCACCCAGCCAAGGCAGGACTGATCCCTGCAGTCTGCTTTTCAAGGTTATGATTCAGTGCCCCCCACTGCTTGTGGGAAGATATTTCAGTCTAGCAGATTATTACAGCAGCCCCTAGAAGCTACTGGCAGAGCCCCATTGTGGTAGGTGCTGTACAGACACATAGCAAGAGACTGTCCCAGCAAGAGTCTGTGGCAGAACCAGGAATTAAACCCACATCTCGTGAGTCCTAGTCCAGTGCTATAACCCCCAAACCATCGTTCTTTGTCCCTCAGCCACCCTCCTTCCCACATTTTTGTTCAGCTTCCCCAACATCCTCTGCTAAGGGAGAGGAAAGCTCACCCTCCTCTACTCAGCCCCATGACACAGCCCTGGGTAAGACCCCTAAATAAGTCGCCGGGCCCTGGAGGGGGGCGACGAGTGACTCAATCAGCACATTGATTTTATAAATCTGAAAGAGGAGGAAGCAAAGCCGAGCTTGTCACGATGTTTCCACTCTGCCCACTGGGGTGCACTGGAGGAGAGAGGGATCTACACAGAGGAACTTCAGCCTCCTCCTTAGTCCCCCTCTCTCCCGCCCCACACCCACACAGACAAGCAGGCCTCACCCTCTCGCCACACTCCAACTACACTACAGGAACCACTGTCCCCAGGGGTGCAGGAACAATCTGTACAATGGGGGGGCTGAGAGCCATCAAACCAAACTGTAAACCCTGGATGTGATGGAAACCACTTCAAGCCAGGGGGGGCAGCAGTAGCCCCAATTCCAGTACCTCTGACTGTCCCCAAGTTACACCTGCCTGGAGCTCCACACAACCCTCCACGCCTCACTCCTCACCCCAACACAGTCCCCTGCCCTGACCCCTTAACTCCCACACAGCCCCCTTCCCCACTCCCCCCCCCCACACACCCACCTGCCCCACTCCCAACCCACACACAGCCCCCACTCCCTATGGCCCACCACCACACAGCCCCCTAGCATCCCCACAGCCCTCCACTCTGCCCCCTAACCCACACACAGCCCCCTGCCCCACTCCCAACCCACACACAGCCCCCACTCCCTATGGCCAGCACCACACAACCCC